ATCTACTCGTCCTTACTGTGGGGAGTCCTATCAACCCTTTCCTCCCAATCCTCAAGCCCTCACTCCCTTCTCCGCCCCCTGTTCAGCAGGAAGCAGTCAGAGAGAAAGCAATGTCCACAACCCCATAGAGGAGAAAGGGGGGAATGAAGGGCCCCCACCCATAAGATGGTGAACTCACCCCTCGCCCCCCCTAATCCCAGCACCTACCAATAGCCACCAGCCCCGTAGAAGTGACACCTCAATCAACTCATGCCCCTTCCTATATAACCCAGCACCTTTCCCTAATAAAGCAGAATTTTCCTGTGAATTGCTGTGTGTGTCGCTCCTTTCCTTTCAAGGAGGAACAGGAGTCCAGGACAAGTCCTAGGAAAACCTTGGACAAGTGGATGGTGTCCTTCCCCACAGGGGAAGCTGAGGCAGTTTAGGATGGGGCTTGACCAATTTTTCTTTAAGGGCCAGAAGGTAAATATTTTAGGATTTGCAGACCATATGGTCTCTGCCATAGTAATCAACTTTGCTGTTGTAGTGCAGAAGCCTTAGAAAATGCATACACAAATGCACTTGGTTGCATTCCAATAAAACTTCATTTACAAAAACAGGTGACAGGTCGGTTTGCTGACCTGTGAGTGACTGCTCACCAACTGGTCAGAGGTCAGACCTTCTAGACCCATGTCTGGAGAGTGGTGGGCTCTTTACAACCTGAGATTTTATTGCAAGAGTGGGAAGCATCTGTGCAGTGTACCCCCCAAAAAATTCACATCTACTTGATATCTCAGAATGTGACCTTATTTGGAAACAGGGTTTCCCAGAAGTGAGGATCAAAATGAAATCACCCTGGATTTAGGGTGAACCCTAAATCCAATGACTGGTGCCCTTACATGAAGAGGAGAGGACCATGTGAAGATGGAGGTAGAGCTTGGAGAGATGACATCAAGGAGTGCCAAGGATGCCAGGAGCCCCCAAGAGCTGGCAGAGGCAAGGAGGGGTTCTTCCCTGGAGCATTCAGAGGGAACCCTACTGACACTTTGATTTCAGCCCTCCGGCCTCCAGAACTGTGAGGAGATAAATTTCTGTTGTTTAAAGCTACCCTGGTTCAAGTACTGTGTTACAGCAGCCGCAGGAAGCTCATACACTTTGGTTCCATGCTTGGTCTAAGCAGTGAAGGAGAACACAATGGCCCCTGAGGCCAGAGTGGTGGCACTGGAAGCGGCCTAAGGGAGCCTCTTCAGTTTCAGGGTGGCAGGAAGTAGAGCATCGGTAAAAGCTTGGACGGAAGCAGAAACAAGTCTGAGATGAGTGGGAGGGGCTGTCAAACCCAAGACTTGGGGGTCCTCAGAGATATTTGTGTCAACTCCAAAGCTGCTGTGACTTGAGAGGCACTCAGATTTACTTCTGACTTACAATATTTTGAAAAATTCAACCCAATAATGGCCCAGGAACGTTACTTCTAGGAGTTTATCATAAGGAAAAATCAGAAATTTAATCAAAGCTCTATCCCCCAGGATGTTAATCATGACATTATTTATAATCCTGAAAAACTAGAAACAGCCTAAATGTCCAATAATGAGGATATGGTTAGATAAATTAAGGTATATCCACAAGATGGGTTCCTAGGCAACCACTGTATATATTTACAAAGAGTGTTTAATGTTACAAAGAACTTTTAATGATGTGCGAGGATGATAGTGATATAATACTATGTGGGGAAAAAATTGGTTATAAAATGGTACAATCCAATGCCAATCATGAGGAGGAAATGTGTTTAAAAAAAAAAGACTGAAAGGAAATATGCCAAAATGTCAGGGTGGTATCTAGTTGGAGGAATTATGAAGTCAAAAAACAAAAAAACTTCCTTACACTCTTTATACTTTTAAAATGATTTACTATGTACGTGGATTACTTCCATCATCCAGAAAAAAGTGAAAACTTTAAAAATGTTGTGTACGTGGTTTTCATTTTTATTTTCTCTGATGGGTGACTGCACATAAGTGAATCTCTAGATATGCTAACTACTTAGGCTGGTCACAACACACATACATACAGAGAGGTCACATAGGCTGTGCCAAGCTGGCTATAGCAAATTTATGTCAAGTTACATACTTGGGATTGTTAGGCTGGTTCAAATACGCCACCGAATCATGGGGACACGGTTGGGTCAGGCTGCCTCTCCCACCATCCAGTGCTGTTAACCAGGTCTGTGTGTTAGGTGGGTGAGCGGCGGCCTGCTGGCTCTCCCTCCAGCACCCCCTTTGGGTGGAGTGTACCCAGGTCAACATCTGCTCTGCACCCCCTTGTCGTCTGCCTTATCTCAGTGTTGGAGCCTCTGGCTTTGTGCTACCTCCTCCGAGCATGGGGTGTGCTCCAGTCGCAGCACCCGCCCCAACTCTGCTCCACGCACATGGTGCAAGGAAAGGAAGAGCCGAGAATGAATGGAATCACCCCTGATGTGAACCATGCCCAGACACAGGAAGGGAGAAAGCAGATGTGAGCATGACACCATATACAAGTTCAATCTTTACAGATGGGCCCTCTGTGTCTCCAAGACATGTGGGCTGTGTGGGGCCCTCCAGGGCACAGACCCTGCAAGAGGACAAATGGGGGACATGGCTATGCCCACGGGGGCAGGCCTAACAGCAGAGCTAGGAGAGTGGATGGGGGTGTGCCAACATGATGCTAGAGTGTTGCAAGTCACAAGTATACACACCTCGGTATCATGCCCCTCTCCCAGTTCATTCACACCATGGATTAGATACAGATAGATAGAAGTGGAGTTATACTTTTCAAGGGAGCACCTTTCCTGGTAGTTGGATAAACAGTGAGACAGACTCCTGGGTTTGGCATGCTCTGTGGAGGGTCATGTGACAGTGAGGAACTCCCTATTGCTACACTCTGTATAAGGCAGCTGAGCCCGCCCGCCGCACCCATGGCCCCTGGCAGCAGTCACAGACTTGCCTTCAACCCCTTCTGCCTTGGAGAGCTCTTGGGCCCCTGTGAAAAGGGGCTATGAAGACAAGAGGGTGAGAGGGGGCTCCCTGTGGCCCCGGGGACACCACACATGGGGGCTACATGATATTGCACTGGGTGGCCCCACAGCAATCCTTGATGATTGCCAGCCCAGCCTTGGCCACTGTGGGCTTGCTAGGTGGAGGCTCTGCTTTCTTCTCTGCTCAGGAGCCTGCAGCAAAGTAGGAGCATAGAGGGAGTGAGGGGAAAAAAGGAGAGAGGGAAAGGTGAGGTGAGGAGAGCCCTGATCATCTGCAGACCCAGTCCCATCCCAGGGCTTGCTTCAATTCCACAGATCACGTGGAGAGCTGGCATGCATTTCTACAGTTCTAGTGACTGTGGGTTAATAACTTTCCATCCTCAGCTTCCAAACACAGCTTTTAGCCTTTTCCTATTCATTTCTGTTTCCTATTGTATATGCCAAGCCTAGCACAGGACCTGGCACTCAAGAAATATTTCGTGAATGGATATATGGGAAATTTTGTTCAAGTCACTTCAGTCTGAGGACTCATGTCTTTCTGTTCTGGAAAATGCTCATACATTACCTTTTCAGATACTACCACCTATAATTCTGTTTTCCTTCTGGAATGCCTATTAGAAGTAAGTTGGACCTTCTCCATGTTTCATAACTTCTCTCTTTTATTTTCCATCTCTTCATCTCTTTGTGCTGCCTTCTGGGTAATTTCCTCAGCTCTGTCTTCTAATTTATGAATCCTTCCTTCAGCTGTGTCTCTGTGTTTAATCCACTGAATTTTTATTTCAGTGACAATCATTCTTTTAGAAATCTAATTGTTTGCAAATCTACCTTTCCTTTTTTCATGGCATCCTGCTATTTCATTTTGGATTTTATTCCTGCTCTTATCTTTCCTCACTTTAAATATACTTATTGTCTCTTTTAAATAGTCTGTTATTTCTAGTTCTTGGGAGGAAATTCTCTTTGTTGTCTCTACTGACTGTGCTCTTGGTGGTTCAGTTCTTCATGGGTTTTAAATTTTTACTGAGAGCTCATCTCCATGGAGGTTGATTTATCTGTGGACTGCATATTGTGGAACGCTGATGTTTTACATTTGCTTTGCTGGGGTCCCAGAGATTTCATTGGTTTTAGATTAGTTTTAATTTTTCAATTTGGGATTCTAGATGAGTGGCTTAAATTTGGACCCCATACTTGGCCCTTGAATATGGTGCAGGGTTGATGTTTGGATTTCTTGTCAGAATTTTTTTGCTATCTGTAACCCAGAAGGAAAGTTTCCTTGCTCTTTCTCCATGCTGTTAGGTGGAGTTTTTCTAATCTGCCTTTCATGGAAGAGAAAGTCCAATGAGGTTTAGACAAAGACTATGTGCCTTGTGATTTAAGGGCCAGCAGAAGGGATTGTGGCCTTTCTCTTTTTTTATTCTCCCACATTCTACAATGATGTTTTCATGGAATATTCATGGACAGCCAGGGGAAACTGAATTTGCAGCTGTAGTAGGTAGTGGTATCTTTGGGGTTTGGTCTTTCTAGCAAGATTTCCTGTCCCTTCTCTAATAACAGTTCATGTCCCTGTTGCTACAGGAGTGGGCTTGTGACACAGATCTGGCCAATTACAGTGTCCCTGCCTCTTGATGACAATGATGAGCCTAGGAGGTGGGAACATGATCCCAGAAAAGACCAATCAGAATCTTCCCCTGAGATTTACATATTTAGATATCAGGAGAGAGAATCTGGTGTTGTCTTGCTGCTTCAAAGCTTGATGGTTCTCTGGCCCCATGAAGAAGGCCTTGTGCAATAGGAGAAAATGAAGCCAACATACAAAGAGGGGCAGAGATGAGAAATGAAAGGAAAGTAAGGGTGTTCTAACAGTGTCCAGTTCCTGAAGCTCTGGTTCTTGTTGCTCTTCATCCAACAAATCCCCCTTTTTGCTACAGCCAGTTTGAATTGGGTATCCATTTCTTATAACTGAAAGTAGCCTCACTGGGTCAACAAAGAAAAACAGTTCCTTGACAGCAGATCCTGTTATCACTTTAATATGTGAACAGACCTTCCAAATAGAGTCCCTCCTAATAGAGGGACCCTCCTAAATAGAGGGTCAAATATACAGCATTTTCTAATGGAACCCTTATTTCACCTGGAACCCTTTTTGCTCTGAGTACCTTGTAAGGCTAATATTCTGAAAAGCGTAATTCTGGAGAATTAGAGTCCCCCAGAGACTCCAGCTCCACCAGAGGCCAGAGCTCCCTGATCCTTAGCCCCCACCTTCTTGCCTCAGGGGCCAACCAGCTACTTCTATGAAATACACCAAACCTGTGGTTAGAAAGTGACAGTTGCTGCCAGGATCAGCTACACAGTTTGCAGAATCCAGTGCAAAATGAAAATATGAGGCCCCTTTTTCCAAAATTAGTAAGAATTTCAAGATAGCAAAAGCAGAGCATCAAAGCAAACACAGTGCCCTTCTAGGCAGGGGGCCCCGGGGCAGTTGCACAAGTCATACACCCATAAGGCTGGCCTTGCCAGCTGCCATCGGTGCCCACGTTTAACCTCTAGAAAGCATTTCTTGTGCCCTCTCTTGCTCCCAAACCTCTTTTAAATTTCTTTTTCTCTTGAATTGGAGGAAGAGAAGGAATAATGTATACACTCACTGGCTGGAAATTTGGTTACTTTATCTAGAGGTTTTAACTTGATTCTCAGGAAATCAGCCATTTCCTTGTCTTCTTCTTGCTCCCTGTGAAGACAGATGTATAAAGATAAGAGGTAAGCAAGGAAAGCATCAAGGAACCTATGAAATCAGGCAAGCAGCTAAGTGCCTGGGACCATGCATCAGGCTTTGTGGATGGTGCATGTATGCTGTTGTGTGCTATGTGTGAGTAGCACACATGTGGGTTGTGTGTTAGGTATGGGTGGTGTGCATATATTGTTGCATAGTATGTGCGTCCATTGTGCTGTATGATCCCACTCTAAAGCAGAGACACATATCAATGATGGAGTAAATGTCTTCCTGGGGCTAGGGAGAGACCCCGGGGCAGAAAGCAAGCCATTACATGACTCAGTCTCTGCTGGTTCACTGAGCTGGGAAACATCTGATCCTGTATCTTTAAGTCACCCTAGATACCTGTGCTTCCACAAGGTACATGGCAGGTGTCAGAAAACAAGTCACCTGAGCTCTGCCTAGGGTCAACAGAGGCAAACTTGTGGGGACACACAGCCTACTCACCTTAACCATTCCACCTCTGCATCGTCCACCAGGAAGTCTCTCTTCTGCACCAGTCTGTGGATCTTCTGAATTAGCTCATCCTCTCTCTGCTTCTGTGGCTTCGTTTTTTCTTTTTCTGGGAAGGAAAAAACAACAACAAAGAAACAGTTGAGTGGAACTGTTGAAAGACCTCGAGTCTGAGGGGTCAGGGCTGGAATCCTAGCTCTACCATTTTACTCGCTTGGTGAACTTGGAGAAGCAACTTGACCTCTTCAAGCCTCAGATCCTTCTTCCATAAAATACACACAGTGAGGCTTAAAGGTCGTGATATTAGTAAATGGCTTAGCGTAGAGTTTGGCCTGTGGCGAGCGCTCAGCAAATGGTAATGATGCAGCCTGGGGGTCAGAATGCCAAAGGGAAAACAAGAGAGCCGGGCTGGAAATAAGGATTGAGAAAATGAGGAGGGCCAAAACAAATGCACTTTGGGCAGACCCCTCTGCTCAGACCACTGATAAAGATAGCAAATGTGGGGCATATTGTACACAGGCACCACCCACCTGCCTCCAGGCTGTACGCACCTGTGTGTACATACCACCACTTGCTTCATGAGGTGACTCCTTTGCTTGCCAATATCACCCATCTACTTGTCAATGAGAGCTGCCAGTTTTCCAGCTTTACCCCTGCTTGCTCCCATCACACATCTGATTCCTAACATCTCCACGTGCTTGCCAGTGTAACCCTCCAACTTGTTTCTCATGTCCTCCAGGACACCTCCATAGCCCAGGCCATCTCTGCTATGGCCTTCTGATGGTCTTTCTGGCCAATGGCCCCCTGTCACACTGTGAGTCCTCACTGTAGAATCAGACAATCGTGCTTTGATGCCCCAGCCCCTCCTCTCCCTAGCAGTGTGGTTCTGGGCACATTCTTCAGCCTCTCTGAGCATGTGATCTCCCAGCACATAATGTGAGGCTGTTGCAAGTTTTCAGCCAAGTAAAATACTAGGCTCATTGCCCGGCACATAGTAATGGCTCATGAATAGTCAGCTGCTCTTATTATAATGACCTCCAAATTAAATATTCACAGAAACATGTACAAAAGAAAGAAATAGTAATGAAGGAAAAGCAAATTTCGTAGCATAAATGTGTAAACAGTAAGTGTTTCATAGATGGCCATTGTTATGGTTATATTTGTATTCCCATGAGCTTTGCATTTTCCTTTATTTGAGGTTTCTCAACCTTGGCACTATTGGTATTTGAGACTGGATGGTTCTTTGTGGTGGGGGCCATCCTGTGCACTGTGGGAGGGTTAGCAGCATCCCTGGCTTCTACCCACTAGATACTAGTAGCTCCCCACCCAAGCTGTGACAACCAAAAATGCCTTGACATTGCCCAATATCCCCTGGAGCACAAAGTCAACCCTAGTTGAGAACCACTAGGTTAATCCTTTCCCACAACACTAGGAGGAAAGCACTATTTTTATATCCAAGGAGCAGGTACGACGACCTCTGCAGCCAGGTCTCAGCATCCCAGCTCTGAGGTAGGGGTGGTGGCAGTGGAGGTGGCATGTGACATCTAGGCTTGTCCTTGAGAAGCCCTTGGGACAGAGAAGGTCCCACACCTCCTCTCTGATCACACTGACCATCGGGGAGCCTGTGAGTTATTTTCTGACCCTGGCTGGAGAAACAAGATTCTCTTGATTTTCTTCAGTGTTGTCTTTCCTTAATATTTTTATTGATGTGTTGCTGGGAGCATCATTGTTTTACCCTAAACTCAGCTAAACCCATCTAGAAACCTGGTCCAGAGATTACACAAAAAGGCTTCCAACAAGGTGGGGAGAGGCAAGTAGGAACACAGAAGAAAGAAAATTTGAAATACCTGATTTTCTGTACCAAGGTGATTGGGGTGGAGTGGTTTCCAGGAATCAATGTGACTGATGTTAAGGACCCAGGCTTTGCTGCTAACTGGCCCTATGACCTTGTGTGAACCCAGTTTCTCAGCAGGACAGTCAATGGCATTTTGGGCAGGACACCTGCTTCCCTAGAACTGTCCCCGCACTGCAGTTTTAGCATCCCTTGCTTCTGCACATTAAGTATCAGTACTGATCTTGTCTTTATTTAAACTTCGGGTATTTTGTTCATTGCAGATTTTTTTTTGCATACATTTTGATATTTTAAATATTGTACTGAAATATTATTTATCCTGATGACTGGATTTTCTATGTTTCTGCCAAGTGCCTTGTTTTTCTCCTCAATGTCATCCCAGTCCTGGTCAGTCATGCAGCCCAGTGACTGTGCCAACCTAAGACCTCCACTCCCACCCATTTCCACCAGTGCTCTAGAGGCTGCTTAACAACCCAGTGCATATGACAGCCCCCACAACAGAATGATCGAGCCCCAAATGTTCCTGGTGTCCCTGTTCTAAAGCATACTGTGTTGTATTTGCAGCTCCGTAAGAGCTACCACTTACCAGAACCCACTGTGTGCCAAGCCATCTCCTTCTACCACCTGTGAGCACCTTAGAATAGGGAATAAATTCCCTTCATCACTGGATGCCCAGCACCTAGCTCAGGCCTTGTAGTAGCACAGCTGCTTGAAACATACTTATTGAAAGGGTAGAATGGCAAAAATGTTCAAGTAAAGGCCAGTGGGGGTGCTTGTCTTGCCTGTGTTGTTCTTTGCTAAGGCCAAGGCAATATTCTTGAGATGGAGTTGTGTGTGTTCATTAATAAACCTTCCCTTAGCACCTACCAGGCCCTCATTCCTGCCCTCAGGGAGCATGGAGTCTACAGAGGAATCCGAATGAGTCAACATTATTTGGTAAGTAATTGATAAGAGTGAGCCCTGCAGAGGGTACCTAACCCAGCCTGAATGGGCAGGGAAGGCTTTCTTAGGAGAAAGCACCAATAAACGACCACCTGAAGAGTGGGTAGAAATTGGTTTGGTTAATGATAACAATAAGAGTACCAATAATCAATGAAGCAGTTCCTATAGGAGGGGAACAGTGCTAAGCACTTACATGTTTTCCCCATCAACCCCGCAACCACCTTGTGAGGCAGATACCACTACTGTCCCAGCTGACAGATGAAGAAATTGAGTTTTAATGAAGTAACTAGCCCAAGGTCATGTCATTAGTAAGCAACGGATCTAGGTTTGACTCCAAAGTCAGAGTCAAAACTCTGTAAGAACCATACTCTGTTTGTTCCCAAGCAGGGTAATAATAGTAATAATTGGTAATATTCACTGGACTCTCACTTTGGACCAGATATCAAGCTAAGTACATAGCTTGCACTGTTACCTTTATCACAATGAGATTTACGCCTAGTAGTACTATTTCTATGACTATTCCACTCTTAGAGGAGGGGAATCGAGACCCAGGGAAAGAAAGTGACTTGCCTGAGGTCAAGGAGGTGGCCAGAATAAGGACTTGAACCTGGGTCTGCCTGACTGGAGTTGTATTTGAACTACGTGATCAGAGAGTGCCATTGCAAGAATGAGGCCACATTAGAAGAGATGGACTCTGCCGTCCAGACCTAAAGGGTACATCCGGGCCAGCTGGAGGCTCTGAGCAGCTGCCTAACTGAGGTGGAGACCCAAATGGTTACCTGGGATGGCCACCAAGTTCTGCAGCTCCTGCTTCAGGTCCATAATGTCATTGCAAAGCTGGATGTCATCCATCCTGGGGAAACAGGACACTGCACAACAGCAGGTTACACTGATGGAACATTCTATACCCCGAATGCCACCCCACTTTAAAACCAAGAGTTTGTAGGACTGGCTGTCTTTGGTGAAGGTCACACATGCTCCTTATAGAAGTTTTCCCTTCAAGGAAGAAAAACCAAAACTCCCCAATTTCCCACGACGTAGAAATGATCCATCAGTATTAATCAGTCCTTGATAGAGTCCCTCCAGGCTTCACATCCTAGCTTCTGTTTGCTCATATGAGCGAGCTCATGTTTCAGGGTCCGTGTTTTATCAGCTATGTTAAAAAATGTTAGACATTACAGAAATTCACAGTGTAGAGAAAATCCCCCTCTATCCTTTAGAGAAAACCATTGTGAATGGTTTGGCATATAATCAGCCAGAATTTTTTTAATGTTTATGCTTATACTAGCATATATGACATCATTGTAATACAAAAACATTTTTGGAATTTGTGTTCTTTTTTTTTTAACTTGATATACTTGGGCATCTTTCCATATTGGTACCTGCAAATCTCATTTTGAATGGCTGCATAGTATTCTGTTATTATGATATACACTGTATATATTGATCACAGATTAACTATTCCTAGATTGTTAAACATCTGGGTTGTTTCCTAATACATTTCTGGGATAAATTCCTAGAAATAAATCCCTAGAAATGCAATCACAGGGTCAAGTGACATGAACACTTGCATTTTAATAGGAACTTCCAAATTGCCCTCTGGAAGGGTTGTGCATGATATTCCCACTAACCATGGGAAAGGCTGTTCCTCACTATAATTTCAGTAATTGGGGTGCATGTACAATTTTGCATTATGTACCATAGTTTCATGTGTATGTGCTTCAATACTAACTCATCTTACTGTGAACAATATTTGCAATTGCTGCCTGGAATTTCACCAAGTCAATTTATCAAGGCTGTTTTAATTATGCCCTTGATTACCTAAGTGGGTTTTTCAGACTGTTTTAGCCTCTACAGGATGAATATGGATTCATAATAAGGCTTTTTCTTTATGTATGATTATCTGGGATGAGGGGCTATAAATTCTCAGAAGTGTAACCACTGAGTGCACAGGGCTTGACGTGTCTACAGCCATTGAAACATAGTTTCAAACTGCTTCCCCATGGGGACAGTGTGTGTGTGTGTGTGTGTGTGTGTGTGTGTGTGTGTGTGTGTGTGTGTGTTGCGCGCGTGCGCGCACGCAAGGGCATTGCACGCCTTCATTTTGCATGTGTTTATTGAGCATTTATGTCCACCACTTTCTGCTCCTTGAGCTGAAATTTAGGTTAAGGGTGGGAACACCGGTGAACACAAATACAATAGCATGTCAAGAGGCTCTGAATGCAGGCTGGGGATGGAGCAGCCAGTTTGGACACATCACCCTGTCCCAGGAAGTGACACAGGGAAGCATTTATATTCTCAAAGGATCCTACTGAGTCCACAGAGCAAGTGGGAGCAAGACCAGGACTAGAAACTGACTTAGATCTGAGTCCACTGACCTTTCTGCCTCCTTCCGCAGCATCCTCATCAAAAACCTGATCTGATGCCACCATTCAGAAGTGCCACCCACAGACCAGCTTGGGCCTGCCTGCCATTTGCTGGCCAAGAGCTACCCACATTACCCATTTCAATGCCAGCATCCCAGCTTCAGGACAAGTGGCGTAACTCAAAGCATTTGTCAAGCCCTGCCCTGGAATGTCCTAGCAGGTGGCAGCTGCCTCCAGTGAGTTGGGGGCCTTGCCAGAAGGGCACAAATTGTTCCCATGGGTTCCTATCTGCAATCACTCAACTGGAGAGTCTCTGGAATCCTTTTCCACATCTAGCACAGAAATCAGGCTACACCAGTGGCTCTTAACAAGGGCAGTTTTGTTCCCCGGGTACCTTTGGCAACCCCATAGTTGGTTGTCACCACTGGGTGTTGAGGGGAGTGCTACTGGCATCAACCAGGTAGAGGCCAGGGACACTGCTGAACATCTTGAAATGCACAAGACAGCCCCCCTCCTTAGCGAATTATCTGGTCCACAATGTCAATCATGCTGAAGGGGAGAAATCTTGGGTTATAACCACAGAATTCATCCAAGTACCTGATTGATTAATGTCAATAATTTTTGAAAT